GCATGGCTGCGGCGCGCGCGGCAGCGGCGGCGACGGCTGCGCGCGAGGTGGGCGGCTGCGATGGAATCGGCTGGCGCTGGCGCGGGCGCGCAACTGGCTGACGCGGCTTGGCGCAGGCGGGCGCGGGCGATGGCAAGGCGAGATAGTCGGGAATTGGAGCGCGACCGCTTCTCTCGACTGGACCAGCGTTGCTAACAGGTGGCGCGAACGCCGCACTCCTGAAATTGGCCAACCGCGCCGGAAGTTCCGTGGCCGCGCTACCAGGCGCGGCAGGTGCCGCCCGACGGCGAAACGCCCGCTGACGGGCCGACGCAAGCCCGCGACACGACTCTCCTGGAGAGATGCGACATCTAAATTTCCCCGAGCGCAACTAATCAAACGAGTCGAACCCAAACGCCCCCCGTGCGCAAGACTAGTTCAGCAAGTCAAAACAGCAGTTGAACAAGTCAAAACAGTAGTTGAACAAGTCAAAAAAGAGTTGCGCAAGTCAAAAAAGAGTTGCGCATTTCGCGCCGCGATTCGGAATTCAAACTGCACCACGAAATCAAAGTAGTGCGCATCCGCCCGACGGAACAACCTTAGTGCAGCTGCCGCATTATGTCGGATGCAGCGCCGACACAGGAACATCGCTGGCTTCACTGCACATGTGCCATGGAATGCGGTGGCACCTCGATCGCGCCTAAGCCGCTTGCCCGCGGACTGCCGCACGCGCGCCGTCAAGCGGTGGCGGCGGCGCGCGCGCGGCGGCTCGATATGCGCCTGGCGGTGGCGTCGCTGCGCGCAACGAATGTCTGTCGCAGCGCCTCGAACCGCCACCACGGCGCCGCTCGCGCCGTCCACCGCGCACTTGCGGTAGTAACGTCGCGGTTCGGCCCCCGTTGTCGACCAACCCACGCTCTTAATGGCAAGTCGCCAAGCAGTGCGCGCTGCTCTCCGACCCCAATGAAAGGCGCGCTGCCCCGCAAGTTGCAAGCCCTAGACGGCGATCAGCAACGCCAAAGCACAGGTGTAGTGGCGAAACCGCCCTTACTTGCGCGCTCGGTGGTCGCCCAACCCGTAGCAATGCTACTTGTGGCCATGCCAGCCGCTGTTGGAATACACGAACCAACCACCTCTTTGGTGCCAAGAGAGGGCGGCGGCGGCAGCAAGGGCGGCGCGCGACCGTCATGGCAACAACTGTCGCTACAGGACTTGCGGTGTCATCCGTCTTCACAACAACCGCCCCAACCGCCGCGTTGCAATCGCAACGGCCGCCGTCGCCTATGCCGTGCTAATAGCACTGGCACTGCGCATGGCAATGCTACCCGAACCACCTGCAGCCGAACTGTTCAGAGTCGTCGTGGCGGTTTGACGTAGCTGTTACAAGTGCGGCATGCTTGCATGCGTCGCTGGCGCGTGTCGTTATGTCCGTCGCCGCCGCCGCAGTTGCAGTCGATGTACCCGTAATGGCCGCCGAAATAACAACAGGAGGGGGCATTCAATTGCCGCTATCGCGTTGGCCCCAATGGCACAGATCACAGCCGTGGGCGCAGTGGTGGTAATGTGCTTTGTCTGTTGTGACATGTGCAAAGGTTTTGGGAACGCGTGTCGCCCGATACGCAGCATGGGACACAACTTGTGCCATGCCTGTGGCGAAGGTCGGACAATCAAATGTCGCGGTCGTCGCGCTCATGGTCGTCGCGGTGGCAGAAGAGCAAGCGGCAATTGCGGTGTCAACAGTAGCTGCAATGGCGGCATCAACCGCAGTAGCACCAATACCCGTACTGGCCAGCAGAAGCAACGCCTGCACCGACCCCATGGAATGATGCGTGGCCGCGGCGCTGATCGCAAGTGCGTGCGCGCGCGCGTCACTACAGTAGTAGCTCACTCGCGATTCACAATTGTCGTGGGCGCCGCCGCGCTCGCAACGAACCGTGTAGAGCGAATCGCAGAGCACACCAGCCACATGGTGGAAATACTCACGGGCGCCGTTAACAAAAAAGCTGCAGCGCTAATGGCGATAGCAGTCGGCCATGGGGCAAAGCACGCACGCGCACTGACACTTCCGCGCGCAAGAAAGGATGGCGATAATAGCGCACGATGCCGCCTCGCAGTGCCCAGCTCCCGCCCATGGCGTCGCGCAGGCATTGCATTGCGGCGGAGGCGCGCGTGAAACACTTGTTCGCGCATGGCTGGCGACCGCAGGGCCGCCGCCACAAGCCCAACCATGCAGGGGTCGCGACTCCAAGGCGCGGGGCGATTGCGCACTTCGCTTCGGCGAAGCGCGCTAGCAACAACAACAGCAAGTTGGTTCAAGCCAACCGCTGTAGACCGCGATGGAGAAATCAACCCATTCCGTTGAGCCGCCGATTTGTTCGAACCAAAATGGCACCTGTTCCTCGGTCCTCCTATTACGACCTCCCTCCGCCCCCCATCCTCTGTTCTACCCGATTGCCCCCTAAATGGTCACACTCCAATCCTGACGGCGTTTTATCAACGGCTGGCTTGAACACACAGTCCAATTTAGAGTCGCCGCTGCACTTCCTTTTGCACTGCACATGCGTATATGCGTTTGTTCTTGGGATGTTGTCGCACATTGGGGGGCATGATAATGTTTGTTTGTCTGGGTGCTGATGATGTGCTTGATGTGATGGGTGCGCACCCTGGTCGTGAAGGCGCGTGAACTTGCACATGCATGAGGCTCAACTTCCTGAACGCGCAACGAGGGTGAATGCTTTACCAAGTGAGCCGCTCAAGCCTCTCCCGACTGCAACGCTCTGGCACAGACTTGCGACCACGCGCTCTCGCAACTTACTGCGAGCAGCGTTGACAAAATGCTAAGTGTTATTGCACCGTGAAGTGTCTGACAGCGAACGGCTTACACGAACAAGCACCCGAACAAGCAATCTCAACTGTAACTGCAGCCCCATTGCTAGATCACACCATTCAATGATGCACCCAAGGGACGGCACTCTACTAAGTGCCCGTGCGAATGGGGAACACGCGCTCGAAATATCGGGATGTCAACGCGCTCGCAACATCACTGGCTAATCGTCATCGGCATGGCGAACATCAACCTGCATCGAGTACTTCGCCACATACTTCACCCTCCTGACGTCGATGGATCGCATGCCCACTTCATCGATGGAGGTGTTAATCATGCGGGCGAACACGTTCCTGACGTGGCCTGGCATCTGGTCGAAGCAGGTGTAGCTGTGCACCATGGTAAACACGTGGCCCTCATTCTCTGGCCACACGTTCCCGGAGAAAGAGGGCTCGTCACGCACCGTCTCGACAACCGTGTCCCTGCCATCGGATGGCTGAACTGCCGCGGCTGGGTCCGCAGCCGATGCAGCAACAACGTCCTCTGCCACGCCCTCCTGTCCTGATCCGCTGGGCAGCGTATCCCCGCTCGGCTGCGGCTCGGAGCCAAGGGTGTGGTCTGCCCCCGTCCGCGCCCGCTTCGTCTCTGACAGGTGCTCTGGCGCTCGCTTCGATCGGCGGCGCCTGGGGCCGAAGCCCGAGTTGCCCGTCTCTGGCGAAGTGGAGTAAGACCCTTCGCTCAGGACTTCGACGGAGTCTGACATCAAAAATGCGAGCGCTGCAGAGTTGCAATCGGAAGAATACCAAGCCCTAACCGCACCGAGCTCAAATTGCTACACGATGCTGGTGACGATGATGACGGCCATGCTGCCGAAGCTTGCGATGGATGATGCGGTGGTGGTGGAGGGGTTGTGGCGCTGACTAGAAAGGTGTTGCAAAGCATGGGCTGACGCCGCTCCGCTCGAGGATCACATAGCCCCAACGAGGATCCCAACTATAAGCGGCCACGTGCCACACATCGGTTCCACAAGAAGCCGCGCCACCATCAAACGCGCCAGAGACATACCTAATAGTGCTGACGGAAAGTGCAGGATGGAGGGTGGATCCTGTTCAAAGGCGGACCCCCCCTCGCAGACACCATTCGTACAAAACTCATCCCATTGTGGCCAACCGAGCCCCCGCAGGGCGCACTACTCTATGCCTACCGTGGGGCCCCGTTGTTCCCATTATGGCCCAGGGCACATATTTGGGCTCATGACGAGCTCATCGCGTCATGCGTGTACATGGTGGCCTCGCATTTTCCACGGGCTGCGGGGCGAACGGACGCATGGCGGGGGATTACTGGGGGATGGGCGGTGCAATTGAGAGACCTAGACTGGCGTTGAGGGGTGCGCTTCATGCCGTGCGCGCTCTATCGCTCTTCTGACTGTGCTGCCCAAGGCGAAGCCTGAAACCTGGGGCGGCAAGCCGACTCGGCGCATAAGGCATCGGCCATTGAGGGGATCGGCCCTGCGGGCTGCTCTTATCTTAGCCCCGTGTGAGGCCGAATGCAGACAAAGGAAGCCAGCTACCTGCCCAAGAGGAGCCCCGCCCAAACCTCGCCCAGCGCCTCTCAGCCCCCGCGGGATTTCCGATGGCCTCGGGAACGGCGAAGCCGACGACGACCAAGGCGACGACGGCGGCGGCGACAACGACTGCGGCGGCGGCGGCAACAACGACATCCAGGACCAGGAGGAGGGCGAATACGAGGACGAAGACGTCGACGGCGGGGACGGCGATGGCCGCCATCATGACCCACAGACCCCCAAGACCTCACCGTTGCTAGTTTGTTTCAAGGCAGCCCTTTGGGCTCAGACAGTCCACTGGGACGCTCACGCTTTAGCAAGCTAGCACTGCCTGGCAGCGCCTTCAACTCCCTCCTGTACCGAACACGGTCGCGGTGACAAGGGAAACACATCTTGTTGCCCACGTGCTCCTTCCTGTTTGGAAACGCACCAGAGTAGGCCATGGAGAGCCATCCCATCATCAAACCAAGCGGCCTGCCCTGAGCAAGCCTCCTCTCGTTCGGCCTGCTCGTGCGTGTCAAGCGGCATTTATTGCCGTGGGTTGGGTTGGGGCACTCTGCAACAAAGTCACCGCTGCGATAGTACACGATGCGGCCGCCACCAGGGATATCCAACGACTCGAGGGCTGCAGTCTTAGGGCCACCAGCCCCGCGAGAGCTCGAAGAAGACGAGCTGCTCGAAGAACTGCTGGAACTGGAAGACGGCACGGCCCCATCACCGCTGGAGTCGCCCTCGCGCGCAGGAGGTTCATCGCCGTCAACTGCATGGTGATCGCCGCCCTTGTCTTCACCTCCGCCGCCGCCGCCAGGCTCGCCGATGCCACCGCCGCCGTCAGCAGCGTCCAGGCCACCACCCGAATCATCGCCATCTCCTCGGTCAGCCTCGAGGTGGTCGAGGTGGTGCTTGACCAAATCAAACAAGTCGACGCCAGCCTCCTCGGAACAGTCGGACACTGCGGCATCCGACGCCGCCTCGAGATCCTCGGGGTCGCTGGCGCGGTCCGCATCGTCGCCCGCCACGTCGTCAACCTCGCCATCCTCGACGGCGCCCGGTTCCTTGTCAGCTAAACCATGAAGCACGACATCTCCAGGCTGGGCAACTTTTCTCTTCGACATTCGCCGTGGTGGTGGCCACACCTGTTGCTCGCCGCTTGGTACAGCTTCCACTGGGACGGTGGTGACGTCGAGGGCGCCAATAACCTCCACCGTGTCCACGAGGCGGAAGATGCGGCAAGTCCACGTGCACGACCGATCCAGATTTGAGAAAAAGCCCCAGTCGTGCTCGTACGCGTTGGTCGCAGACACCCAGATGTACGGACTCGGCGCGCCGCCAGTGACCTCATCGAGGACGTGGTAGTCTGGGCGGTACGGGCTGAAGAGCACGAAGCCAATGTGGAACCAGTGCACACCGTGGCCAAACTTGTACTCATCAGCGGCAGCTGTCTCATCATCGGACACGGCATCGCACCAGGCGGAACGCTCATGCGCGACGCCCTCGAGCCTCATAACCAGGAAAGCGTTCTTCAACAACTCGATGTTTTCAGAGTGCCGAGGGCAGACAGACTTGATATGCCGCAAGACGCTGTTGCGAAGGCGCAGCGTCTCCTTGCCCCCCTCGGAGCAAACGCAGAAGCCGTGCTGGTAACACTGCCCATGCCCGCATTCGCGATCACGTTCTCGCCATGCAGGTTGGTCGTCGTGTTGGATAACCCTGTTCTTATGAGCCCAATCGCGCAGGAGAACGCCAGACATGTGGGAAGACCTGCTGTTCTCACAAGCAAACGCTGAAATGAACCTGGCTTTCTCCGACAAATCGAACAATACCTCGAATGCGTCCATGGCGCTCGAGGGGAGCGGCTGCAAAGCTGGCTTGCATGGGAGAAGCGACGGACACCTGTCGATCAAGCCCTGGACCTTGGCCTCCGCATACTGAGAGTCCCACTCATCGAACTTGCCTGCTGCCTGCCCCTCCTTCTGCCGCCTGGCTAAGCGGAACGTGCTCGCCGCCATGCGGGCCGCTTGGCAGTGCTGCTGGAAGCCCTCGTCGGTCGTCAGCGGCGCTGAGACGTAGTCGCCAGGCAAGGCCAACACTATACTGGGCGCACCTTCATATGCTGCCTTGTCAATTGCAACCTGCAAGGAGCGCCGATGCTTGAATCGCTGAATGGCCCTGGTCGACACGCCGAAAGCCGAACCGCCTGCGCGGTGAGCGCGACGTGCCCTCTGTCCCATATGCTGAAGCTCTCTCTCCTGAGGCCCGTGCAAGTTTTGATTGCGGTACTTGGCTGATATATCATGTAGGTCTGGCCTCCCAACGGCACCAATGGTCTCTCTCCTCACGAAGCTTCTCCAACTACCTCCGCCTCCACGCCTCTTCTTTCGAATCGTTCGCCGTGGCGCGCTCGTCCCCGACAAACCAGGCCCTCGCAACTGCCGAGCCCTATGATCCTTCAAGAACCATGATGAGCTCGATGCCAATCGGGTTCGGAACCTCTGGCAGACAACCTGGGCGTTGACGTACTCAAAGCTAGCGCGGTGGGTGGAAACGCTCTGCGCGTCCACATGTCTCTTGAAACTGCCGTGGTCGTTCTCCCCCTTGACGTTCTCCACATGGGTAATCTGCGCAACTGTCAAGAGCTTCGCCAAGCAGTCCTCGCCACCGAGCTCGCCATCAGGGCGCGACTCGAAGATATGATGGGAAAAGGCATCGCGAGTGCATCTCGGTCGGCGTTTGAGGTCGGGGCCTGCCGCGGCGTTCCTGACCATGGCGAAGAGCGCCACTGGGAACTGCTGAGCAGGCCGAACGAGGTAGGAGTTCACCAGGCACCCCGATCGAGACAACATCCTGAAGCACAGCGCACGAAAGCGGAACGTCCTCTTGCCAGGGGCAATGAAGCGCCATATGTTGGAAAACCACGCCCTCTCCAAATCGTCAAAAAACTGACTCTCGTAGACCAGGTCCGCGTACTGCGATAGACGGTAGAGCCTCCCGCCATCTGGTTGCGGGTCCAGCTGGTCCGCAGCAGCCCTGCACCTCTGGTCATGCTCCCACTCGTCCCCAGAGCTGTGCAAGTACGCCGACATCAACTCACGCCAAGGCTCCATGGTAATCCGAATGGCTTGCAGCATGTGAATCGGCTCGGCCTGAAGCCACTCCATGGCAATGCGACGGTGCTTCTCATTCTCGACCTGCCATGCCCGAGCGTCTCCGCCAGCCGCAGCTTCATCGCGGGCGCCGCGCGCATCAGCGGGCGCGTTGGCATCCGCCGCCGAGGCCGCGGACTCGTCTGGCTGGAACTGCTGGCCATCGGCTCCGACACCGCCGAGAGGGGCGCTGTCGGTGCCGAAACTGCGCAGGAAGAGCTGGTACGCTGGAAACAGCAGGCCGTGGATGCAAGCGCACAAACCAATCTCGTCGATCGAAAGGTCCGCACCAGTCCACCGATGCCTTGGGTACGTCCTGAAAGACCTCCCCAAGCAGACGAAGTTCAAGCACCGAATGACATTCTTTGTAACTGAACGGCGAAGCCCAACACCTATAGGGCCTTCCCCATCAACATACACAATCAACGACGAATGGTCGTGCCATGGCCCGTTCAAAACTGCCTGCGCCATCTGCATCCTCTCGTAAGATAAGCTACCCCTCCTGAGGAACAACTCGAGCATGAGCGACTGGTACTCTTCGTCCATGGTTGAGGGGCGCCCCCTCCTGATATCCAGTCGCGTGCGTGCCGCGGCGATGAACGCACGCCTGAATTTCGTCATCGCAGCAGCCGAAGAAACTGATAGTGACAAATGTATTGCCGCTGTTATATCGTAGTCGACGAGGTCGTAGGTCTTCGAGTGCCCAGTGGAAACTTTATGAACATTGCATGGCATGTGGAGGTTCATCCAGTCGGGCCCACGATCTGCTAAGATGCCCCGCTCCGTCTTGTAATTCGATGCTGCTGCGTCTGTCGTTGCAACTCTCAACTTGGCGGCGTAGTGGTCGGCATCTATGAACGTTGCAGCTGTCTCCGTCACGGCGCGCTTGCAACAGACCGCTGTTCCACGGTCAACAGCCTGAACCCATGTAAGCGCGGGGCCGAACAACTGAATGAGACGGGAGTCCACCCCTGCCCCAACTCGGAATAGACATGCCCAGCCATGCTCTGAACCAAATAGGTGGGTGCGATCAGTTGTCTTGCCAGCGGCGCGCTGCATGACAGGATCACAAGGTCTGGCGACCGCCCCGCCGTCGAAACCCACGACGTCGCCGCACAGCTGGTCGTCAACAAGCATGCCTCCAACGCTTGCCGTCGTGTCGTGGTGGCTCTGATCCACGCGGACCTTCATCCCAGTCGCGTCGTACCTCGAAAATTCAACGAACAACAACAGTTTCACGGCATCCCTCCGAACATTCTCGTGGAGCATCTGTATAGCACAACGGTCACAGTGCACGAGTGAACTGGCAAGAATGCTCAAGTTGCGCTGCATAGAATCTCGAGGTAAACCGAGCAATGACGACGCTGCTGTCTTGGAAGCAATGGTGGGGCGTTTGCTCGGGTCTAGGTACAGGCTGCTCAACTTGACCACGCTGCCGTCTAACGAAACCTGCCCCGACGCAACAGAACGAATCACAGCATCGAAAGGTCGTCGAAGCGGGGCTGCCGCGAAAGGTCCAGGACACGACTGTATCGCCGAGCTCTCGCCGACTGTGGGGTCCCACAGCCTGCGCTCATCTAGTGGTTCCCACGGCACGATCGGCCAGAAACCTGGGTCGACGTCCATGGCGTCATCATCAGCTGGATCAGCGGCAGCGTCTCCACTGTTGCCAGCGGCGCTGCCGTCATATGCGTCTGGGTCGACGTCGGCTGCGCAAGGCTCGCAGTCGTCGTCGGTTTCGCCGTCCAGTGCGACCGCCAGCCACGGGTCGAGCATGGGCGGAGTGGAAACACAAGGAAGCAACAAGGCCGCAAACATTAGAGCCCCAATGGTTGCGGAGGACGCTGTATGCGTTTGTCTGCTGTTATGTCGTTGCGAAACTGCAAAATCTTCCTCGTCGCCTCCCCTCCCCTCCTCCTCACCCTGCCCCATCCACCACCACCCCGCCCTTACGTGGCTCTACTGCCCCAGTTGTGATTCAAAAAACCCGCGGGCGTGTCCGCCGACCCAACGGGGGGGCACAAGGCGCGTGCGATGCATAGCGCATTGGGCCGTAAGCCTCACAAGGGCCCGAGAGGGCCAATCATGTGAAAGCCTCGGGTGGGCCTGTATGCTCCCATTGCAAACAATGACAATCCCAACCTGGGCCTCGACGGGCCCCCAAGAGCAGCTTGCGTGCCCCGTCTCTGCTCCGCTAGGAAACGTTCACCTGTTTTGTTATGTCGCTGCCCTGTCTCTATTATGTTCGCCATGTACTGGTTTCTCAAGAGTCTGCCGCTCAACCTTTCTCAAATTTGAGCGCAATTGTTTGCGCAACTGTTTGGGGGTTTTGTGGGGAGGTCGATTTCGACTACGTTTCGAACTCCAAACGGCACTTTTCAGGTTTTGGCTCCTGGAGGGCCTCTAGCAGGCGGGCCCGTCTCAACGCTCGTGGAGGACGCGGGTCGCGCTCCTACTCTCAGCGCCGCCTGGGGGGGCCCGAGGCGGTGGGGGGCTGTCGTCGTGGGCAAGTGGGGGCGGTCGGACAAGATCCACAACCTCGAGGCCCAGGCCGCTCTCATGGGCCTGGAGGGGTACTGCTCCGACCCTGGCCACCACTCCACCGCCCTCGTGTCGCTCCGCAACAACATGCCCGAGGTGCTGGCCACAGGGCGGGGAAGGTCGCGCACGTGGGGCCTCCCGGCGTTGGTCCGACGTGCCGGAGCCAGGCAGGTGGCCAGCAACGCCCGCTGGGCGCGGCGCCACATCGAGACGCACCGCAACCCGAGCAATTACGGGGGCCGGCAGCCCCACCTCCGGCCTGCAGAGGTCCGACGCGGGGCCGGCGCCCGCCCGCTCGACGCCGGGCGCCCGCGGGCGGCTTTGCTGGCCGCCGAGGGCTCGGAGGAGGCCGCCCCTGGAGCGGCGCTTCGCGCCGACGCTCCCTGCGGCCCCACGCCAGAGGGTCGGCCAGACCTAGCGGGCGCTGGTCCGCGGGGGGTCAGGGCCCCTGATTTTGGGGTTTGCTTCATTGACCGTAGCGCGGTGGTCGCGGCATGGTCCCAGGCGCGGCAACCGCGCCATCATTGTAGCGCGTCGGCGAGAGCCGACGCATCCTAGGTGCATTCCGAGCGAGCGCGCGCACATGGGCGGTTTGTACGGCGTCGCTTCCATCGTATATGTCCAAGGTATTAGCACGCGCCCCTACATACAACATTCTATGACCCCCATGGCACATAGATAAATCGCTCGCACGGGGCGGGGAATCTCACGCGCCAGACTGCCCCTAGCGGGGCTGACGACCTTCTGAGCAAACGACAGAGTCCAAACATAAAGGTGCGGGCTAAATACACACATGCAGGGTCGATGTTTACACGCATGGGATCTCGCCACGGGCATGAATCGCAAAATGCGTCGTTCCGTAATTCTTTTGGCTTAAATGTTTGTTGGCTCACACGACGGAAATGAACACAGAAGTTTGCCGTTCAGACGATGACGCGCCATTGCCCCAGAACGCCCTGGACACTCCTCGCAGGAAAAGGAAGAGCGGCGGCGACAAGCGCCGAGAGAGGAACGCTCTGCCCAAGGCTGTTTTTGTATATGACCCGAGCGCTCGAAAGTCAGATGTTCGCGCTCCCGTGCTGAACGGTTCCAGGTTACACAAGAGATGGAAGCGTACAGCGGGAGCGCATTCAAATTGCTCGTTGAACATGAAACACATGTCAAGAGCAAGAAGTGTTAGTGGGCGGGCATTTGTATAATCATTTCAGTGAGTTTCTGCTTCAACAGTGGCGAGTGTTGTCGGTGCCGGCTGGGGTGCGCATGACAGAGCCGTACAGCGACCCACCCATCATGTTCTCATTCGACGTCCCGCCCAGCTACGCGAGGTTCATGGGCGTCGAGGCTCGGATACCTGAACCCTCTCCCCTCGTCGGCGCTCGCTCCGAGGACGACGGCGCCGACGACGACGAGCGCGAGGATATTCCTGCCGCACAACCACCGCCACCAGGAGAGCCACCCGACGTCGGGCCAGGTGTTGGACTTCCACCGATGACAGCATTGCGCGGCTTGTATACGACGCAAGAGCGTGGCACCGTCACGCACAGGTACACGCCTGAAGGCATTCTCAGGTGTCTTTCTTTAGCCAAGATGTGCAGGCCTTCTGCTTCGCTGTCGGGCGTGATGGCAGAGGCTGCACCTCTGTTGGGCGAGGAAGAAGGCAAACGGGTCTCACACGCTCTGAGCATTGGGGAGTGCCGCTTGCCGTCGATCCGCCTCATGCGCACTGCGCGGCTGCGCTTGGATATGGCATCGATTTTGTTTCAGCAGAGGTGGTTCATTAAGTTTGATACGTTGACGTACACCTTGATTGATTCGTCACCTCAACTCGGCTACAATTTCTTGCTGATCATCGGGGATACAATCAAGATGCCAGCAGCACGCGCTTTGGATATCATGCTTCGCATTGGGATGAACCTCGCAGAACACTACGCATCAATGATATGTCCCATGAGTCCAATTGGAAGTGGAAAAGGTTCATTGGTCCACAAATCTTCGAAAACTATACACGTTGATTTGATGCACTCGAGTAGCGACGACCACTTCCACCGTAAACGCAAGGCCAGGAGAGGGACGACGTCAGACCAGGGCACCGAGAGCGGCCACAACGACATTGCCTTGAATATTGTCCCACGGTACCTGAACACAGAACAATCGGGGTCGCCTGAAAGTTATGTGTACCCGTGGTCCCTCTGGATGCCAGGTCAGTTGCGCGTTCTGTACAACAGTTTGGAGTCAGCTGTGAAAGCAAGCGAATTGTATTCAGATTTCGTCCACGTCCTCAAATTATTTCAAGAGTTCTTGAATGATCATGGGTTGGTGCGCCCGTTCAAGGCCACGTGCTTCGCGGACGACCCACAGGCCGCAAAGGACTTCAAGCCTGGTGCGTCTGTTCACATCGATTGGAAGTGGGAGTATCTTTCACGAGCGTTGGGTTCTCAGCTGCCGAAGTTCGTCGCGGCGCAGTCCCGGCTTTCGAAAGAGAAGATGCACTTCGGCAGCGAGAAGGGGGCGCAGACCAGGAACCGCCTCCTCAGTGATTTGATTGCTGCGGTGGCAGAGGAAGTTGAGTTCTAGGCCAGCGCGGAGGCATTGCGAGTCGCGGAGGCGACAACCGAGAGGACTGCCAAAGAGTTAGAGACATGTGATTGCCATTGGGACTAGTGGCATCGAGGCATCAAGTCGAGGAAGCGGCGAGTGGGCTTTATGCAACAGGTGACTGGGCACACTCGCTGCGTCTGGCAGGGACGCCGCCTGCCGTGGTACATCGCAGAGGGGCGGGACAGATTGATCTCTGATCTCAAGCTTGCGATGTCTTATCGATTGCCGGTGCTCCTCGCGAAGATGCCAGCAGCTCGGCGGAGCAACTTGTTAGCTGCATTGGAGCAGATCACGCTTCGCATCGTGGAGGAGATATGTGGCAAGACACGCCACCTCTTCCGATGCCCATACGTGGCCATCGGCGCTTACTAGTCAGTCCAAGGTGGTACGATGACACAGGGGCGCAGTCTGCTCAAGACGTCAATTGACGAACACGACGAGGCAATGCGAGTTGGCAGTGGCAGCCAGCTCCACCGAGTTGCTCACAGACTTCACGCACGCGGCACGATTGTCCGCGATGAATCGGAGAAGTGGATTGCCAGTCTGCCTGATGTTCCGTTGACTTCTTTCCCGCACCTGTTCGTGATGCTTCAGGAGCATGCTCTGATCATGGCGGTCGAGCGCAGGATCGAGGCAGTGCATGCCATGATCAAATCTGCTGGCTCACATGCACAAGGGTTGTCTTTCCCTTCGATTTGCGCCGCTGTGAGGGAACCCGATACACTAGCGCAGCTCAAGGCGAATACCGGCTTCTGGGAGTTCTGCGTCGCAAACTGGCGCTCCACCGCATTGGCCTCGCGCATCCTTCATATCCGATTGAGTCGAGCGGAGCTGGGCACCATGGACTTGAAGAGTGAGATATCAAGAATCTATCAATGCGACACGCAGTCAGAGCACGCCACTTGCGCCGAATCCATTGGCGCGCTTATCGTGTGGAGGGGTTTGACGCAAGGCCCACGGAGACAGCCGATCAAGCTCAGGGAAGACACGAAGGCGTTCGTGATGTTCTTGAAGAGCGTGTTGCGACCAGGTACTTACATCAGTATTCCGTCTGAGATGTTTGAGATGGCCACGGCTGGCGATGGCGATGTGGCGTTGGCAATGGGTCACCCAGCGGGCAACGCCATCGACGCCGAGCTGGAGGTTGTCGGACAAGCAACGCCCGCTGACTTTGCATGGGGCCCAAACGTCGCCTTCGCGCGGGTCGTCAACAGCCACCCAGAGAGCAGGCGCAACGTAGCGCTGCACCACATCAACACGAGAGTATCAACTATAGCAGTGACGTTGTGCCAGGTATGTATTCGCAACCCTTCTGCAAGGACCTCGCATCTGCGGGCCAAGAACTCTGCAGTCAAACACCTGACACTTGATCTGGCCGCTCTTGCTTCCAACGTGGAGTGTGCGTTGCAGAACGTCCACGTGTGGGACGTCAAGGGGTGCCTTTCCACGGCCAGGTTGCGGCCGCTGCTTGCTACTACTTTGGGCCCCCTCTTGACCGACGGGGCCGCCCAGGAGCAGCCGGTGTGTTCAGACGTTGCTGATGACCGAGTTTGCCGTTGCAGCTGGCGTAGAGTTTCGGATGGGCACTGTGATCGATCATCTCTTGCGTAGCAATGCGATCTCTGGCCAAGGCTTGC